GTTTGTTATATTCAGTATTGAAGTCAATTGCATGTCGCCACAATAATTTAACACCATAAAACAATCACACGTTACTTCGTTTTACGTCATAATTATTTAACACAATAATTTCTATGCTAACAATTGCATATTTACTATATTCGGCACCACAATTATTAAACACGCCAACAATCGCACATTTTCCATATTTGGGATTAGTTAAACAAGTATAGTTATACGAGGTATGATAAGAATTTTACACACTATTTGGCTTTTTTTATTGGTATATCTATATTAATCCTAATATAGTAATACAGAAGCTTTATTTGGTTTAGTAAAAAAAATTATCTCATATTATAATACTATGCTGCTGAAAAAAGTCCAAACCACTGAAAAAGGCCTTTAAGTCCATTTTACAAATTTAGAATAACCATTATTTATTAATTCCTAGCTATTACCGGTATAACAGTGGTATAACTAACATGTTGATCAAACATCTAGCATCACCAAAGGGTATCTGTACTGGAAAAAATAAAGCACATATGTATTATGTTACATTGTATAATGCAAGTTAACAGACCCGTAGGATCACTTTTATTTTGGTCTAGATCGAAACTAAAATAGCGATTTTTTTTCTCAAGTATTGTGAGAAGGCAGGTTCGAATGAGTGATAAAACCTTGACCGGCTTTAATAATCAATGGCCTGCATTAAATTTTATGCAGTATTACCTTAATTTCTCACGGTCGATTTTTTATTAACGAATATTACGAATAATACAAATAGTGTGAATAATGTCTAGACCCTTTTCACGATCCTGCAATAAAAATGAGACTTAAAAAGGCTATAAAGGCAACGAGTATAACGTTCTTAATCAGTAGTTTTATCAAAATTCATATATTGCAGGAACTTGGAATTCCCAGATCATCGAGATCATTAACCTTTTCACTTCGCAGGAGAGATCGTCGAATCTATAGGGGTTAATTTTACCAGAAAAAATAACAAAATAGGCTCAGTGTTTGGAACTTATAACCGAGCGGAGTTGCTTTGTTAAGTGTGGTATGGTATTGTGTTAGGGTAACGTAATTACTAAGCTTGTGATTTTTCTTCTGGCAGATTCACTAAATCTAACAAACGTGAAGTATAAAATAAGCGATTTTTTTGTTTCTTATAGGGTGGGTTATAATAATATTGTTTTTTGTCAATACATATTTTGCTCGTTCATAATTTATTTTTAAAGTAATGTATTATATCATTTAATAGTTTATAAAAACGAAACTTTACTTACTATATTTTTTTTTATTTAGAAACGTAAAATGTCTACTAACAATAATACTACCCCCACAACCAATGACACCACCCCCACAACTGACATCACCACCACTACTACCATTACCACCACCTATGACACTACCACTCCCACAACTAATAACCCAACACCATCTATACCAAACCCCATGGATATTACTCTAACTAGTAAGAAAATGACCTTCCCACGCAAGAAGAAATATATTTTTTAGAATTAAGTTTTTTATTTCATTAATATTAGGAAAGCATGAAGAAATATGAAGTGATGGAACAAAGACAAGTGATACTTTAAGTTTGAGAACAAGGTCTAATGATGGATTATCGATAGATTTTAATAAACTCCAAAAGTTGTTAAACAAAAAATAAATATAATTTCTTTATTTGTATATTGTCGTTCTGGCAAAAAAATTATTAAATAAAGAAGGGCCCTCACTAGGCTCCTAATCTTTTATTTTTACATGATTTTGATATCTATTACCTTTACTTATTATAAATTACCTATTGTTTATGCTATTATATTGATTCCTCCTGTATAATTAAATCTGCATCCAATATTATAGAACCCTCTCACAAACCAGCCTACGATATTGTCTTTATGGTTTTGCTTACATGATAGACATAATGAAGTATTGCATTGATATATATCATCAGAATCAGTACTGTGACTCAAAGATATACTGGGATTCTGTTCCAATACCTTGCTGATAAAGTTTTTTCGTTTTTCTTTTAGATTCTCTTTTTTCACATTTACTATGGAGATTCCACTAAAAGTTTTTTTTACAACAATAGAGATGATAAGTTTTTTCTCCATAATAATTATCATCACCTCACCGACCTTCTACATTATCTCCTTTATGCTCTTTATTATATGCAGAGCATATTCCTGAATAATCATAATAATCACTATATTTATTGCTATGCTTAAGAGATAAATTATCGAATTGCTTCAATGTGGTATAAATAACAAGATTTCGTTTTTCTTCTGGATCATCGGGTAAGATAGAAATTGGAAGATGAGAATTGAGAGATGCATTTTTGTTTATAGGTAATATGCGTACCTCTGTTTCATTTTTGCTATCTTCGATTTGGGAAGATCCAGGAGAATCAATGTATTGCCAAAGATCTTCTCCAGTCTCTTCTTTATATCTTTTATATAGTCTAGAATGATTTTTTTTATCTGTTAAAATAGTTGGTAAAGTTAATTTAGCATGCCATTTAAGATAGTCATCAGTTAGTATTTTCTTATCAGAGGTAGAAGCCATGTTATTATATAAAAAATATGTGTTAATTCAAAATTACATAATGAGTGTTAGGAAAAAATAAATCTTTCAAAGAACAAATAATTTTAATTTTTCATGTTATTGTGCTTTATGCCATTACCTCAATTTCAACTCCACGCTGTTCACATTTGATATAATAGAATCCGGTTTCATATTTGCCCTTCACACCATCCTCATCATTATGATCTAACTTGCATAATGGGCATGATGTCTCATCAGTAATGCCATAATAATTAAAATTTTTACTACTAAATTCTCTATATAAATTTTGATATTGATCCAATGTCTTGTTGCGAAAATAGGTGCAGTTATTTGTTAGATTAGTCCTACTTGCTTGATGTGTGATTGATGAAATTGTTTTCGGTAAAGCACTTATCTTGATTTCTTTTTCATTTGGTGAGGACTGGCACTTAATGTAATAAAAACTCTTTATACATCATTTGAGATCATAGCTAGGGCTGCTTAGATATAGAATTTTTATTTTTATTATTTAGGAAAAAATACTTTATTTTATGCCTTAAAGTAAATGTTAAAATTTTTTATTCGTCTCTAAGTAAACTTTTTATTCTTAATAGGAAATGTTCAAAATCCTATTAAGTAAGGATGTAGAACTAGTTTTTTTTATATATAATATGTAAACCTCAAAGGTGTGACAGAATTTTTTTATAAGTTTTTACTTAATTTACGATTAAGTAAAAATTGTAAAATTTTTTATCCACATTTTAATGATGAGATGTGTTAATAAAAATTTTACTAAACTCTATTAAAATCTTAACACTTATGTAATTTATCTTCACGAATATTTTTACTTAGTACGCTAAAACTAGTTTACTTAGTAAAAAACTTAGTTTCATATGTGCTAATTTTCATTAATTTGATTTCAAAAATCGTATTGGGCGTTACTTTTGGTGCCTACTGTACATGTGAAGCAGACGTAGTAGATTACAAAATTTATATTTGCAAATATTACATGCACACACGTTAAAAAAAGCCAGAGGCTCGGTTAAGCAAAAGGAAAGATATTTTCAAAAAAATAAGCATATATAGTCCGTATTAGCAATATTTTTTATTAGTGTTAATTATATAATCTATTTTTGATCCTTTATTACATGAAAACATCATGCAAATATATTCATTCTGTAATTATGCAATATGCTCATATGTTTCGTAAGTTTGCCGAAATCTTCAAAACATCACAAACATATTTACCCACGCAAGAAATAAGAATATGATCAATTTTATCCATAACTGCCTTCTGCTGAACTATTTCATCCTAAAAATAGCAAAAATAGTTAAATATAAAGAAATACAAATTAATTATATAGTATATTTACACTATTTACTTATGTGGAAAATAGCCATCAACTGCAAGACTGCCATATACTTTGACCTTGAATAGAAATCAAACGGCAATTCTGCTGACGCAAGCTCATATGTAAAAAATATGCCATCTTCCTGCATGCTAAGGGCATACAATGTCAATCGATATGCTAATGAATTAATAGTAAAAAAAAAGAAGAGTATAATCAGTATTTTTGATTTTATACAAAACAATGCAATAAAAAACATACCTATAACTTGTGTGCTGAACACTTTAACTTCTTTTGCAATTTTCACATCGAGATCAAAATAGTTACTTAGGATGCCCACAAATTCAATATATCAGTTTGTATAGACTTTTTCGTGTCACTGATAGTATGGCGAGTTGTAGGAGTACTGGGTGGCCCTGAAATTTCCATTTGCCATATTTCTCTGTTATCTCCGATCCGAGTCCCTTTTGTGTCAAAATAGGTATTTAAATCAGTAGCCAAACATAATAGCAATCATAGAGATTAGTGTATACCTTTGATATCCACTCGTACGATTCCAGAATCGGTATTTGTTTTAATTATCTTTGCCGATTGTGCATATGCTTCTATCCAGTCAAATTCCAATGTTCTGAAAGTGGATTCGTAAAACATGAACAATGGTGCAATATGGTATATAATGAATTTTCATTCTTTGATTGATCTTGAGAGTATCAGGGAAACATCAACTAAATTATAACTTTTAAGAGTATCAAAGTAGTGTAATTATGTGATTTGTTTTTTTATCTCAACAAACAACTTAATACTCACAATCCCATTAGTACTTTTTCGCAATACAATCTAAATCTATTTTCTTCCTCTCCCTCTATTTCTTCTTGGATCGCCAACTTGAATTCTTTTCCCGTTTTCTGTATATATTACATGTCAATTTGGTATAATCACATTGAATAATTCAAATAAAAAAATCAATATTGACTCACATCTAACGCATTTGTAAAGTATTTCTCTAAACTTTTTGTCCACATGGAGGGCACTAGCTTTCAGTATGAGAATATCTTATTTGCAAGATCCTTTCCTACTAGTTCCTCCAATTTGGATGCATTTATACTAGATGCACACACAATCTGGATTGACTCAATGTACCTAAAGATAAGAAATTATTAAAGTGAAAATACAGAAACAAATGTGATGTTTAACTTAACCCACTATTTAACTTCTTCGTGTTTGACAATTCTTTTGTTCGGCATTATTGGCATCAGGGATTGTGGTGATTGAGGTGGAGGTGTTTGTGTTTTTCTCTGGGTTCTTTGACTAATTGTATTGTTAAATGCCACATATTTTGCATTTTCAAAAATGCATTCCTAATCAACAACATAAACATTTTAATTATTTTCAAAAAAGAGAAAACCATATTCCAAAAGAAATAAAATAAAACTCACCTCAGCAATTTCATTGTGTTTGTGCTTCTGTCGTAAATGTGTTTTTAATCTTTTGCTTTCTTGAAAAAACTCGCAACATGCGTTCGAAACGGCTTGTCCTTTCCATGTCTTTGATAGTTGTCAAGATTAGCTTTGAAATACCATGCTTTACTAAGGAGAACTGGGTAATACCTCTATCCAGCCAATATAATTAGAACAAAACAACCGAATAGGATTATCTATGTTCTTTTGGTTTTTGATTTGGGTCAAATTGGACAAAAAAAACTCTTTTGATTGTTTGAAGTCCAAGTCCGTTTCTTCATCTATAAACCTGTTCATAAAAGCTTCCAGACACCAATTAGACGCTGGCTCTTCAACAAAGAATTTATGTAAGCCTAAGATTGTCGTCCATCAAAAAGAGTTTATATTGAAGTAAAGTATATCAAATATATTTGTACTTACAATAACACGATTATCATTTCGTAGTACGTGTCAAAGTAGGTTTGTTAGGGGTAGTTTTCTAAATGTCCATCCAGGGACGATGATTTTCTGTTTTGGTTAAGACCAAATTCTGTTTTTGGTAAAGAAAAATTTTGTGATGTCATGTGCTGTTTTTTTAATGTATTCTGTGAAATTCTGTGATGAAGAAGTTAATTTCTGTGTAATTCTGTGGTAATTTTGTTTGATTCTGATTTTGTTTGATTCTGTGATTTGATGTGATTAAAAATACAAACATGCAAAATTTCCAAATTTTCAAAATTCCGTAACTTCCCGGCAAACACGTTCGTAATTTACATTTTCGGGATTTCCCGGTGCCCAATCTGAATTTATGGTCAAATCCTGAGAATTCTGTTACTTTTTTAAGGGTGATCGCAGTAAATCATCGTCCCTGTGTCCATCCCATTTGTAGACCAATTAAATTCATCTCCACTTGAAATTCATGTGGGTAGGAAAATTTTTAAAAGTATGATAAGTCAACAAATAATTTTTTGATATCGTGGCGTTTAGGCAAAAACTAGTTTTCCAACTCATGACTACCACGTCTGGCTACAGCCGGTGGTTGATACATAGAAGTGTGAAGTGGAGCTAGCCTTTGAAACTTTGCGATCATATTCACCGTGCATGGTTACATCTGGTGGTAAGCATGAAATGGAGCTAGCAATGAAACTTTGCAATCCTATAACATTGTGTCTGGCTACAGCCGACAGTTGTTATAGAAGTATAAGCAGAATATGCTCACGCCTGGCTGCAGCCGGTGACTATTCTTGCTTATAAAGGTAACCATTATGATTGCGTCTGGCTACAGCCGGCAGTTTTGATGGGCTTTTCATTATCTATAATTTTCAAAGCATTTATTTAATTATCACACTAAGTTTCAATCACATTTTTATTAGTCTATCAAGGTATAGAGTGAAATAGTATGATGCTATCAAAGAGAGAGTACGTGGATCCTAGGCCATTTAATGAGAGTCCCAGCATCATGTTTATTTCTTTGCTCTCTCACTTTTCAGGTAAATTCTTAATGTCTCTTGCTAATTACGAGATTCTCACATCAATACTCTTTTTCTACAATAGATTTCCGAAATAAACTATCCTGCACATATCTACAGAAGTTTCGTTTATCTATATCTTTCCCACACACACAGACTATGTAAAATAATTCCCCGCAAGAGAACTTCCTCGAGGTTAAGAAATTTTTATTACTAATATCCTCTCTGCCTCTTATTCAAGAAGTTTGTTGCTTGTTTTTTTGTCGCCAGTACTATACTGCGCCAAACATCAACTGTTTGATATACCATCAGATTTCATGCAAATCAGGTAAAATTTGCAAGGCCACAAACGCTGATGGTTATCACGATTTTCTCTGCGAATATCAAATGTTAAAAAGATCAAGAATGATAATATGTCTTTGAGCATCTATAGAGCTGGAAAATCAATTAACATTGTGATGATGTTCTTCTAGAAGCTAGTCGAGCAATAAAACCATTATACCTTATTATTACTTTGCGGATTACATGAGTTCGTTTGATTGTAAATATCGACAACGTAAATAATGGTAGTAGGTTAGATTAGTTTGATTAGCTTCGTTCGATTTTTATTTTACTATGGATAAAAGGGCTTACTAACTAAGGTTTAACCTTTTATATAATTTGCAGGCATCACAAAATTCAGATCATAATAGACGCTACCTATCAACATCGTACAAATCATGAACAGTTCATGTAATATATGCTGGAAAAAAGTGATTGAACAGTCCCGTAAAAGAAATTGATGGACGAGAATCATGTTGCGAGAGGTTTGCTAAAGCAAATGGACTAACCCGATGTACATGATGAAGTTTGTATGTTTGTGAATGTATTTTTTTAATTCATTTTTGCATCATTTAGAAGGGATGCCCAGATTAGCCTCAGAACTTCGCCTGTATTCTAAGAATGACATCTGTAATATATTTATCTGCTAATTAAACCTAGAGCTATAAGATTATATGATTATAGGATATCAATACTTT